TATTCATCTGAAACCAAGTCGGCATACGGTCACGCAGAGAACATCTCTGTGCTAATGACCGCCTCAAAAGCACTCTATATGGATGATGCATTGGTTGGAGTTGCTGGAATGGAGTTCACATTGGATGGATTCGCTCATAGACTTTCGAAAATGGGATGTGGACCTCAGGTCAGGTTCAGCAATTCTATTTTATCACTACAATTTGTCTTGCGGTGACAATTGCTTCAAATGAACGAGGATTCCACCACCATTTGAGCATTGAAATTTGCCTTCACTTCGCAATATAAATTCGTGCATCTTTCATCATTTTGCGGCCTTTCTGTGCTTATATTCTTTACTCTCAATAGATTTAGTCGGAGTGTGTTTCTGAATTACCATTTATAGTTTCATGACTTATGCCACTTCTAAGAGTTTTTAAATTCACTTTCTGTTCATAAGAACATTCCTAATAAAGATGTTGATTTGGATATCATTTCATCCCAAAGATACATTTTCAGGATGATCACAGATGGTGTTTATTGTTGGATGAGCATGCGTATGTTGTATATAGTAGTTTGAACAGTACGCGATATGCTCATATGTTCTCAACGAATGCTGATGAGCGAAAGAAAAGCATTGTCGGTCGTTGGTTTGGTAATATCAACCGAATCACTGAACGTACGATGAGCCTTCTTCTTAAGAATAACTTCTACACTGAGTTAGTGGTTACTGTTGTTAATATATTCTCAAAAGCGTTTCATATGACTTTGATCTTTCAATTCTTTATTAATAAGTTTTCGATGAATGGTCAGTGTAAATGTAAGTGAGTCCAGAGAGCAACATTGTTTTTGAATCTTTTAAAGCATTATAACATCAATATTACAGAACCACTTATGTTGATTATCAAGCACTCTGTAAGGAACAACCACCATTGATGACAACTGCCGGTGCCTTAAAGGTATTTCCTTACAGTTTATCAGCAATCATCTCAACAATTTACACTAATGTGTTCATTAGATCGAGTATCAATAATGCCAAGGGCGCACACATAGTCACTGCATCCATATCA